ATCGGAGACGTATTATTATTATGTAACAAATATTTCATAATGCGGACACAATAAACATGCACAGCAAAATGATACAGACAATAATCTTTTTCTTTTGTTCGCTTGAAATAAATTATCTATATCTATGTTGTCTCTAGTAAAACCTCACTGTCTTTTGTAATTCACCCGGAGAGCCGTAAAGTTTGACTTGCACCGATTTTTCTCTTGGCCAAAAGTTTTGCCGGACAATAATGAAATCGATATTCATAAAAAAAAAAAAAAAACATTAAAGAAACTACAAATATACATCCTTACTATAAATTAAGGGACAAGCCAACACAACAGGCCCTGTTTGTGGTAATTTATAAAGTTAAATGTAAACCACCACAATGGTCGTTTCAGCAGACGTGACTTTGACGTGAGAGCACAAATAAATAATGTCAACAGGGGGAAAATCTGGATTCTGACCACTACAATCTCAGTAGGGTAAATTAGGAAAGCTCAGTGGGTGTAACCAATCGACGGATAATCTGAATTATCATGAAAGGAACAAGGATATAGTGCAGTCGAATTTTTAGGTGCTTGCCTGCTTGCTTTCAGGTCAAGGTAAACACTTACATCTAGGCAGGATTTATTTCTTCAAAATGGACCATGGCTCTCAGGTCGACTTAGTGTAACATGGGTACCAGGTAATGTCATGGGAAGTAAAGGAGGCTGGCGTGACTTTCTGGTTCCCATGTCGACCCAGCCTAATTGGGGTTCCACGTAATGGCCTCGGAGGTAAAAGAGATTGATTGGTTTGAGGTTGATCACATCATCCATCGAAGTAGTTTATGAAAAAATCCTGCTTGATTTAGGTTTGAACCTACAACCTTAGGGTCCGAGGTGAGCGTCTAATAGCTACACCACAGCGGCTCCATCACTATATGTGGATGTTTAAATTATAAATTCGAAATGTAGAGAACAATAGAATAAATTAATAGTAAAACTTTAACCTTATATATACATATACACACACACAAAAAAAAAAAAAGAGAAAGGAGCGATATACAGATATGTAGACAAACACATATATTGATGGATACGGCGGAAACGCATGTACGCAGATATATCTCACAACGCCATACTAGAAATATTATTCTCAAGGTAGTGCACATGCTTGCCACTTCGGGGGTCGGAGTTCAAGTCGCAGTTCTGAAGCAAATTGTTTTAATAGAGACAACTAAGGACTACACCACCTGTCGAACTCCGAGAACATTTCTTAAATATTGCCATACAAAGACAGCAGACTAGATGCAGCTGTACTTTAATATATATGTTGTAGTTTTTATTTTTATTTTTAATAATTGTTTATATTTGATTTCTTTCTTCGCTGTCCTTTATTCCCCTACAGAGCGTGTGCCCATCAAACTACTCACGCCAAGTCGTCCCATCCTTTGCTACAGCACGCTTGACACCATTAGCCCCCTCCCTTCTCTCTCTCTCTCTCTCTCTCTCTCTCTCTCTCTCTCTCTCTCTCTCTCTCTCTCTCTCTCTCTCTCTCTCTCTCCTTCCCATCCTCATTGATTTCTATTTTAAACTACTGTCTACGTTGATCTCAAGCAGATTTTAAAAAATTCACGATTATGCTGCGGCACCCCTGGCATACGCTCGCGGCACTTCTGGCATACGCTCGCGGCACTTCTGGGTGCCATGGCACCCAGTTTTAGAACAACTGTGTTACGATATAGTGCTACTATTCTTTCCTTTCATAGAACGCCCCAGTAATAATCGGTATTTACATTGTAGACTCAGCAGCTTTACTATAAACTAGACAGTCTCTTTAAAAGATAAGACGTTAACTGTATACGTGTTGATGGTGATACTGATATTTTCCTTTGTTGTCTCAACTCCGCAGTTTTAATTTGTACAAAATCAATCATTACCTGCCTAAATATCTATAACTCTTCCAATATATACTCATATGTAGCAAAGGAGAATTTCGGCACAGTGCTCGAACTTGGTAAACACATGTCCTTTTTTGGTTTTCTGTAAACAAGTATACACACCCACATTATAAATTGTGTTGTGTGTGTGTGTGTGTGTGTGTGTGTTTTGTGGTGGCTTTTCTAATTCTTGAAATGTATTTCGAGAGCGACCTATTCTGTTTATTTACGATTTGCGACTGCTGAGAACAGAAACTCATGTACATACACTTGTGGCTCTTGTCCGAAAGGGCGAGACGTGCAAATCACTATCCGAAGATCAAAGGGAAGTGTGCTATCCTTTTCGTATTTGTGAAAATGGGTATAGCCTTTTCCGTGAATCGAATCTGGTCTGTCCGTATCCGAGGAGAAGGCTGTAGCATCTGCTCTGCTCCACCCGCACGCACACACCACCGGAACATCAATAGAAAACATCTAGTAGAAAAAAAAAACAAATGATACATATGTATGAGAGAAAAACAAGATACGATCAAATTACCAAGCATTAATTTTGAATTGGCTGCGCTGTCGCTCTTTTGGGCAGTGAGATACTTTATGACAAAGCAAACATGATGAAGGTTGCTTGTATTAAGTGAACAGTGCAGAGGTACAGAGTTTGTGTACTTCGAAAACCTTAATCAGCTGAAAGCGAGCAGAAGGCCTCAATTGTTTGCTAAGCCCAGCAGGTAAGTAAGTTTTACCCCACCAGGACAACACAGCGATAAACACCCGGAAGGGGGGAACAGAGCACGTATGGAAATGCTATGAGTGTAGTAATGTCGACTCTTGATTCATGTGTCTACTATCGGCAAATTACTGTAAGGACAGAAGACGTGTAAGTTGAAAAAAACCATAAGATATCAATGGTATGCTAGAGCGCGTGTGTAAATGGGAAAAAGGGGGGGGGGGGGGGGGGTGGCTGAGACTGTGCTGAGGTAAAGCAGCTGGATCACGTAAAATGACAGCGGTATGACACAATCCCATGACTTTATCTTGACTTTTGAATGAAAAACCTGATGATGCTGAATATTGAAGGATGGGGTGGGGGGATGCGGGGGGGGGGGGGGGTGGGGGGGGGGGGGGGGCTGACACGGATACACCCAAACTTTCGAACATATTTTAAGCAGTGAATAAAATAGCTATCCCACAAACACACAAAACCGAAATGGTAACACCCGGAAGCTGTCCTCGCGTAGTTAAAGAAACTGATATATGGTAGCGATACACAATAAAAAGAGGCTGGGAAATTTATTTTGTTTGTTTGTTTCAGCAGGGAGTATTTTTCTTGGAAAGCTAAGCATAGCGTCCTGATACGAATCATATCACACATGGAGTGTCGATGAGCAACAGTATGATTGTTTTCTGTGTTTATTTGTTCGTAAATCTCTAATAGGTCCTCCAGTCTTGGTAGTTGGGCGCGGCGTTGACAGCTCTGCCCTGTTAAAAAAAAAAAAAAACTACAACCTTACTGAAACTTTAACAGGAAATAAGTGCTCTAAACGTCCGGCGGTCTTAGGACAGAGTACCTATCTCAGCATGAACAATAGAGTGTCCTGAATGCGGCATCTCTGACATGGAAAACTGCACTGAAGATTGCACAGAACAGGAGAGCATGAAAACTCCTCTCTTTATGCCACTAGGCATAAAGACAACTGACGATAATGAAATCTTTAATAGCTCCTTTTAGTACCACTTACGTTGACGATTGCGTTTTGAATACCAGCAAACTATCTAGACTTATGAAAACCAAGCGAGAAAAATCTATTCGGGTTTGTGTGTGTCTCTGCGTTAATTAGACTAAATTACGAGATAAGAATACGTAAGAATATACTAAGAGAGCCTTTCAGCTCAGTAATAATAAACCCATTTTCCACTTGTAGTCCTGATAAAAATCGATCAGTGCAGTGCGTAAAGGGTTCCGGGTGGATTATATCTTTAGACCTGATTGAAGACCCAGTTATACATGGTCCATATACCGATCCACGAACAAATTCAGTGCCAGGCCAGGCTGAATTCCCAGGGCCATTGCTCAACGTTTTCTAATGTGTGTAATGTATAAACAACTTATTACTACAGCGTTTTAGTTCCTATCATTATCATTAGGTGCCTTGATCGCCTACGCCAATCGGCAAGGCACTTGATGGTGATGATAGGAACTAAAACAGGTTTTCATACTTTGTTTAAAATTGAGGTTAAGCTATGTGTTCTGTTAGTATATGCTATGAAACCACTTTTGTATGTAAATTTGGGAAGAAGGCATGTGAAAAAAAAAGAGAGAGGGGGGGGGGGGGTGTTTAGAATAATTCAAAATAATATTTCCTCTTGATAATTTACATAGTGAGGTCACAAACAGAATATTGTGTTATGTGTTGTCTGGTGTATTTGGCCGTCAATGAATAACAGAGGGTGATACCTATGCAGCAATGAATCCCAAGGGCTCAGAAAGCTGAAATACACGTCAGAAGTTTGAACATAAAACGAAATATGCCAGTCAATATAATATGCAATATACTAGGCCCTCGTTTTTTTTTTTAATTTAACAATAAGTTACTTATTCTGTCATTAAAAAAAATTAAGCGAATTAAAGAATAAAACGATTTAAATGCAAGCGATCAGAAAGACAACCTAAAATAATCAGCTGGACAGAAACGAGTAAACTGTGTTTTGATCTTCACAATAATAACATCCCCTGACAACCACCTAAACGGGTTACACGAAGTTCTGGTTCAAAATGCATGCCGTTTCAAGTGAGCTGGCGGTATTCTGAGACTTCAAGTGGAGACTATTGTAGATATATTATTTTATAAAATCTGTGCGGTCTCCGCAATAAAGGTTGGCTACAGTACACCACTGTTATCTTTGGGAATATAAGTGGTGAGATCCCAACTTCTGCCACGGTGCGACTTTTGTGCAACTTTCCTACAACCACAAGAACCGAGCTTGGGGGAATGAGTCCCCAGCACGCGCGGATCATGAAATTGTAAAACGCATTTCCTAACCTCTAAGCCACGCAACCGCAAATTATTAAAACTAGATCCTAAATCACTTGCAGTAACACTATACATCCTCACCATCGCTGTCATGTCCGTTTGAAGCCAACGATGTGGTGTTCCTGATCTGTATAGATTTCTTGCTTCGATACAAATCCCACAACCCAGAGATGATCTCAGCGACAACAATATCACTAGAGTTCTTTCCTACAAGTTTTAAGGTAAACACCCCGTCATGGCGTAGATACTCCATTGTGAAGCGAGTGGCTAGTTTCTTGTCTGGACCTGAACCGATGCGGTCCATTACCTTCAGGAATTTTCTGATGTAATGTATTCTGGAGGACGGAAATATCATGTGCCAAAGCCAGGCCATGAAACTGTAAAAAGTGACTATGGATACAAACACGAGCCAGAACCAAAGGAAAATGTATATCTTTTCATTGAAAAGGTTTATTGGAAGTACACACTGGACACTGTAGTGGTGCTTGTTGGTCATCTGACGGATGTCAAAATCACACATGGTGACTCGAGGGAAACGCCTGGACTCGCTCCAGTCTTTGCCTTCTATTAACTTCTCCATGACCTGAAACCCGTAGAGGTTGTAATCCGTGCCTAAGAATGCGTTGAGCATGAAGAGCTGGCCAATCGCGTTAGAGATGTACAGGATTTTCATGGCTAAATATGTGGCCACAAGGTAGTTGCCGTACCGTCGGCCGCAGAGCAGAGAGAGCTTGGCCGAGAGGATGTGACGCAAAGTCACACAGCAGCGATGTCTACTTTCGCGTTGATTATCCAGGCATCTGTCTATATGACGCACCACGTATTTGATGGTGCGAATTCGAATCTCGGGTGCTTCATACTGAGCATCACTAGCCAAAGATACGATTCTATCCACGTTGATGCCCGACTGGCCGTTTAGCAGCCGCCAGATAATGCATGGGATATAAAACATTAGGGCCTGAATGAGTAGCATGATGGGTACCCACTGGTAGTAGGTCAGCTCGTTCTCTTGCCGTTTGCTGGTGCTCTGTGGGAGAGCGTCCTCCATGGGGATGTAGTAGGTGTTGGAGATCCAGCAGATGTTGTTGGTGTAGTCGACGTGAGCACCCGTGAACTGAGCAGGGCACCAGCACCTGTGAGACACACAAGAGATTGTATTATTGCATTAGTAATAGGTTAGGTGCTTTAAATTAGATGAGAAGACTTAAAATGATTACTAGAGAAATAGAGAGAGAGAGAGAGAGAGAGAGAGAGAGAGAGAGAGAGACAGGGAGATAAACTGTGAAGGGTAACACAGAAAAATAAGAAAGTGAGGAAGAAAGTAAAGATTAACGTTAGAGACATAAAGGGGAAAAGAGAGAGAAAGATGAATGAGAAAGAGAACACTGAAAGATAGGAGGGTTTGGGTAAGAGAAAAGATTAGCGTTAGAAAGAGAAAGGAAGGGGAGATGGAGAGCGATAGTAAGAGAGAGAGAGAGAGAGAGAGAGAGAGAGAGAGAGAGAGAGAGAGAGAGAGAGAGAGGAAGACAGGGAGGAAGATATAAACACACACAAGGACAGACAGAGATAACTGAACGTAGACACACGAACACAAACACACACACACACACACAGAGAGGGGGCTGGGGTAGTTGATGCTGGATTACTTACAACATGCATGGAGGAACATAACAAACATAATTTAGCCAGTTCTTTGTTGCTGCTGCTGCTGATGCTGCGGCTGCTGCTGCTGCTGCTGCTGATGATGATGATGATGATGATGATAAGCTAAGGATCTAGGAGATTCTAGAAGAAGTAATTTAGAATATAAGTTATGATAACATTATTCAGTAGCACAGAAAATGATACATTCCTGGAGATAACCTCTACTGCAACTAGCGGCAGATAATCGCTTACAGTTTCCCAGTTTCAGACGTGAGTTATAAAATTAATTAGCAGACAACCAAATTATGATTGATATGATAACTATAATGAAAGCACAAGTTGTCAGTGGCTAGACTCTCACCTGATGCACCGGTGGCCTAGAATTTACGATTCACATTCACAAGGCTCTACATGCAGATGAATATGGACCCACGATGAACATATAGGAAGAACTAAAACAAGAATGCAGGACGATATAAATACAGTTTAAAAAATAGACAGACTCATGGGGAGTCATGATAAACCACACTCTAATCTTCTCAACTCTCTTCCCTCTTTTTCTACAAAACTAGAACAAGTTGATCTGTATCTATGAAACAACATCATTCCAAAAGAGGAAAAACTGCACATATTTGGGAGTAAAATTTGACAAAAGGCTAACCTGGGGCTCCCACATTGAAGACACCCAAAAGAAATCTACCCTGCTGCTCATAATTATAAAGAAAATTACTGGAATTAGCTGGGGTGTAGATTCGAACACTGTACGACAAGTATACACAGGATACGTACGACCAAAACTGAAGCATGGCATGGAGCATACTCCACTGCAGCCAAATCAAACCTAAACAAACTGGACACAATACAGACACTGGTCTCAGAATCATCACTGAAGGTATGAAACCACACCAATCCATGAGCTGGAAGCACCTTCTAGCTTCCTGAGCTTGAGCCTTCGAGGGAAAGAAAAGATGCTCATCCTAACAGAAAAATGTAAACGCCTGAACAACAATCCCAATCACAGAATAACACACAACTTGACCAAAAACTGACTTAAAAGACAAAGCTTTCCCCATGTATCAAAACTGTTAGTTTGAAGCCCCATCCTGGCTTTTGCCTGGGTTCCCTGAATATAGCCGGGCTATAAATATAGCCTAGCCATAGATATAGCTTAACGGTTGAAACTTAGTAGTTCCAGCTACCACTACTACTAATATTGCTGCTGCTGCTACTACTGCTACTACTACTGTTACTGCGACTACTACTACTACTACTACTACTACTACTACTACTACTACTCTACTACTACTACTACTACTACTACTACTACTACTACTACTACTACTACGTCTTCTTCTTCTGTGGAAATTTGTCTACTTTGAGAGAGGTACTGCATGAGTCTACCAATCATCAATAGAAGTGATCCCTCGTCTACAATTGTTTCGGCCCACGATCTCCTAGACAATTTCAGAGGGTGGGCCCACCTGAGTTCATGAAGCTCAGGCTTGATCTGCTCCTGCTGTACGTATAATCGGATGTTCTCAGACAGGGACAAGACGAAACTGGTGACTATGCAACAGGTACTGTGAGACTCGACGTTTTTTTACATAGTCGCTGCGGTAGCCCATTAGAACAGTCGGCATACCTAGACGACTAAGTGGCAAGCTTAGGGTTGGTTTCTCGAACGCATGTTAGACATTTTTTGGCAATTGGCAGAGGGCATATATATCCGATTTCGTCCTTTTTAGGACGAAATTTTTTGTCATTTGAAGCCCTACTCTGGCTTTTGCCAGGGGCCGCAATATAGGCAGGTCATATATATGGCCAAATGTCTGAACGCGGTTTCTGGGACCTCTCCACGGCGATCCTCATCCACATGGTGGCACTTTGTGTCATCGGGTGTTTATCGCTTGTGTGATGTCCTGGTGGGGTAGAAAGTCAGTCAGTCAGTCAATTGGCAGAGGGACACCGGTAGACAATTCGGACACGATAGACTTTTAGGGATAAGACTTTTTTTCGACTAGATACCTGGACCAGCCTACAGACGCTTTCTCTGCAGCCTCGCCCGGGATTCCACTTTTTGGAACAGTCGTATCGATGTATTTGTTCGCCATCAGATACTGTGTGAGCCGGCGAACCATAACCGAGAAGAATATTTTCCCCTCAACATTTAACAGCGAGATAGGTCTGAATTGGGACACACTCGTGGAGTCTCGCTCCTTGGGACTGTAGACCCTGTTGGCTCTCTGCCACCGGGTACATACGTGTTTTCGGCTCCACGCTAATCGTAGCAAGCGGTGAAGCATTCGCAGGCCTTTAGGACAGCGCTCATTATAAGTGAACACTATGACTTTGAAATCTTTATTTACATAACAGATAGAGGAAAATGTCAGTATAACAGTTCTTAAAATACACCCAATTTCAGGATTGATTGACGTGCGTTTGGAACTTCCCATGATGAAAGCTACTGATATTGCCACAAAGTTGCCATTGCCTTCTTTTACTTAACTGGTTTCGACTGATATCTAAGTCAAGGATTTATTAAATCTGACTGACAAACCCACCAACTGTCACTATTTTGTCATTCGCCTTGTCGAATAGTCTACTTACGCAGACACAGAATTGAACCAGATGTTTGCTTCTGAAAATGTAGACTGTAAATTACAATTATCTTACACGAAATTTGTGTGTACCCTAATGGGCCTAAATAGGTTTTAATTGCTACAACATGTGACGTCTGTCTATTAGCATCTTGGAGAATTATCTAAGTGTACCTATTTCCACAATCGATTTCTTTTTTTAATTGGCGTTCCTTGTGTTGTTCCTATTATCGTCTAATTTCATTTTCTAAGTAGCATCTAAATTTACGTATTCTATTAGAGTATAGTTGTGGCATATCTCGAAGCAGATGTGAAATATCAGAAAATGATACTGTACTTCTTTTCTCTGGTTCAAGTGCTTGGAAAGTGAAAGTTACGTTCAGCTTTGCAGTCTCCGTAGAGATAACACTTTGTGAGCCGCTTGGGAGGAATGGCTCTTCATTAGTCTCAGTCCGACAGACGTAAGTCTTGTAAACAGCGCAGCTGACTTGAGCGTCAATATAACAGGACTGAGAGATTGGATTCAAGTATCCTCCCAGTGGTAATTAAAAGAAATAACCGATTTTAAAAAGTCAGCCCTTTACTTAACCGTTACAGCAAACTACTAATCCCATAACCACTCCCATTACTTCTTGTTCTGCTTCTGCTTTTTCTTGACCTTTTTCCTTTCTTATGCTTCTTTTCTTCCTAATGCTCACTGGCTTTTAACTTCCGTGGAAAGATCAGTTTTTTTTCACCCACTTCTGGACTTCTTTGTTTTTGAAGTTGAATTTGGTGTGCACAATGGCTTTACAGTTTTGGCATATTGATATGTCGACTGCCTTTCTGACAGAACTCCTTTGAAGCAAACACCCCTACTTATCTGCCGCTTACGACATTTAGGGGGAAAGTGGGTCTATTCTGTTCTCCGAAAATAGGTCCCCGTCATGATACAATCGCCCCAGTTACAGCAACTTTGTGGATGGAATATGTCGTTCTTTGGCTTATGGACAAGTGAATCCTTTTCGTAACTGCATGATCCTCCTCGATTATTAAGGTCTCTTCTAGCGGAAAAGGAACGAACGAACGAACGAACAAACTTTATTTTCAAAGGGTTACAAATTGGGCACGCACGCCCGTCTGACATTCGGCTCTTCTAAGCACTCGTTTTTCAGAGTACTAATGCCTGTTATCTAAAATGCATGTTATAGATATAGAATAAAAATATACATTATAGAATATAATACATACATCATGTGTACACAATCTTACACACTCACACACACACACACACACACACTCATATATATATATATATATATATATATGTATATATGCTCTCACATTCTCATACATGCACACTCATATACAGACATACCTAACACATACAGACATACATATATACATCTACATATATACACAAACAGAAAAGACACACACATACATATATGGACATATATGCACACACACATTCCATACATACACCTTCACAAACATGCATGCATACACACATATACAATCACATGCACAGACACCCACAACCACACATTTAAACTCACATGTAAACATACATAGACACATATACATACACACATCAATACATACACCTACATCTTTACTCACATACATGCATACATCCTAAATAAACACACATACAGGGGGCGGGGGGGGGCTGTTTATCAAAGACATGGAGAGAAATTTCGTTCTTATGATATTCGGATAGTGGTACGAGAGTCGCACTGTGAAAGAGGTCAGAGTCTCATTACCTAATATTCACAAAGTCGGCAAATTGTTATAGTAAATATTTGTGTAATGAATGAAATATTGAATGAAAGGAGAGAGATATGAAGGCCTGCATATCAGATGGGTGCTGGGTTTCCAGTTATCAACCCTCTGAAGAAAGCAAAAATGCT